GCGGAACACAAAATATCATTAAAATTTTTGTCAACTAAATATTTTTCATATCTTGGGGGTCTCATAAACACCCAAGAAAGGACTAGTCATAAATTGTTCCAAATCTAAGTATAATAGCATACAATATGAAGTGTTGGTGATACTGGAAAGTCACACTGCTTTCTACAATAGGGAAACTTGCAAGGGTATGACCTGCGCCTTTGAAATCCAACATCACCCTTGAGAAAGTTGATTTCTCACCCTTGGTTTTGGACAACTTTTGTTCAATTGGCATACCTTGCAGGTACAGAGTCTTGAAAAAACAAACCAGAAATTGAATTATGAAATCAAAATAGGCAATATTAGTTTTCAAATCCATCCAGTCTTAATGTTCAGGACCATTTATCCTGACATTTTTACATCTCTTTTTAAATGTGACCAAATAAGCAGCAGACAAAATTTTTTGCTTGTCGACCCCCCTTTGGTCTTAGTGCAAAGTTAATTACCAAGGTCCAGGTTTACTGTTTCCGACAAAAAAAGAAATTCTGTCTGGGCCAAACTTTATATTCTTCTTGACTGATAAGGGTCTCAGATAAGCCAATAAAGGTAGGTGTTCAGTGTTAGAATCAAATGTGGTTTTAATGCTGACCCCTTTGATAGCCTTCATCATCAGAACTAATAGATCATAAAAACACACACAATAAAGGAAAGAAAACGTAGCAGCAAAAGCTACTGGCTATACATAATACAAGCATGGAAAGATACAGTATCAGCATCAATTATTCATAGTGAGAATAAAACTGATTTGGATCACATTCAAGCTACCATCTGGCCATCCAATATAAAAAACAAACTCCTTATAAAAGTTCCCTGCGAAATGTTAATTGATCATTAAGCGTAAATGAGGTGATATATTCTAATTCCAAGTGACAGCACATGGCACTGGCGGTAACATGGAAATGTGTATATAGTATTTGCAGCTGATACTAGAGAGAATGTGGTGACAAGTCAGTAACACCAGTAGTGCCATGTACCTGGCTGGCACAAGTCCAGACTACAAGCATGTAGCTTAATAAGGTGACAACTGCCGTCTGCTGATCTTATCTGAACTGGCCTCTTCAGCTGTGGATGGGGAGATGATTTGGAAGATATCTGATAACTTGAGAAAAAATTATAGCCCTTCTACTTTTTATTAGTTCCCAATTTGGTGAAATTTGGCATTACTGTTTTGGGGTTTTAAATTGGCTGAATGTATGCGATGAATGTAAGACGTAAACATTGTAGCACAGGTGGTTAGATAAGTCATGAAGATACTTATACTTTCATAAGGTAATTTGATACATATATTCTGAAATACGAATTCTCCTACATGTCAGAAAGTATGTAGAGGCTGATTGAAACATTTTGGTGACAATGATGATGATAAATAAGGAATCTGTACCCAGTAGTTTCAAAATCAAAGCTATAGGTTAGTGTACCAGACCATTCCTCTGTGTGTAGCAGAAAAGATGGAGGAACTCCACACATCTGGTGTTCAAGGCCTGCTTGTAAACAAATCAGTCCATGTGGTAGATTGCATGTTAGGGGGGAATAATGTGCTAGAGACCCAAAAATTGCCTTCTTGCATAACAGATTTCAATTGAGCATATAATTAGTGATGCCAATATCTCACCAACTCTCCCCCTTATCACTGCAGGGATGTAGTAATGGTGTGATGTGCACAGCATGGGATCTGATCTGACCAGCCCACCACATTTACAGGTCTAGACAACATAACAGCATTTATTACATGAGTTCCATTACTATTATGGCATGTCACTTGTACCTAATGATTTCCAGATCTTCAGCTATGACATTATTGATATTCTTGCCATAAATGTCACCTCTTTTTATAATGATTTTGCTTATCTGAATGTATTGCATAGTGACATTGCAATCAATTTTTATTTGCATTTGTACCAAAACACTCAAAACGTTCCCCAAGGTTTTGTTTGCTTAGATAACTGCTTGATCTGGCTGGGTTGCCAGTCAGCCTAATGTGTATTTTTATCATTTTCTTCATATATAATGCAATATGGCAGTTAAACTCAAGATGGGGAAATCATCATTGAGCTACTGCAGCAAAGGCAGCAGAAGTGCATTGCTATAGTCGACTCTGGATAGCATGCTCTTGGAGAAAATGGGTTTTCAGTTGTATGAATAGGGCTCAAGTAACCAATTACCTTGATAAGAAAATCAAAAATTTAAAAACTAAGATTTTCAATTTCAAATCCATCAAAATTTTGTTTTAAACACATTACAAATCGGTTCCAGTTGGAACAAAAATCTGCTATCAGCACTTGGCTGGAGCCAGATTACCCCTTCTCTTGATCTTTAATAAATCAGTGCTTACATTGTAAGCCACTTTGTTGGATTAAAGTATCAGCCCTTATCTCAGTTGTTTAAAGTTAGAATTAAGATATGCCACACAGGAGCACAACAGGAAACAAGTCCTCGTGTGGCAATGTAGCATTGGGCTTGGCTGACCACAAGGAATGACCAATACAATACTAAAAACAACTCATAATAACATAGCAGTCAGGCAAACTAATCTAAAACCACAAACAATAGCTCGATAAACAACTATTTTTACCTGCTTCTCATTAATACATCTTACTCAGGCTGCTTTTCATTGGCTGACATTGAAACAATTAACTGAAATTCTGGTTTAAGCATAGTTTCCCACACTTTCAGCAGACTTAAATTAAGCAATTCTACTTTTAGAGCAATCACACCTTCTATTAGTTAAAAACAGATGAGATTAATTAGTGTAATATTTTTTGGGGGGGAGGTGGTGAACATAAAGGGAGTTGTTTGAATAAAATAATCCACACAGTAAAAAATTATTTTTTTCTGTAGTCTTTGGACACCTTATTTACTGCATGTTCAATTGTTGACTTACGTCACTTCCTTTACAACTAACATATTTCAAAAATTATTACATTAAAATTTTCTTCAATACAGTGATTTCTGCATTAAACTGAAGATACAATCATCCACCATCAACTTTCAGGCTTCGGGAAAAAAAGGGGGGTGGGGTGAGGTGAGGGGTTAGACTGAGATTTAGATTAAATTGTTCTTATTAACTCTTGTTTACTGTAGAGGAAAATGCATCAGAAATTGCATCTACTCACTCTCCTTTAAAAGGAAGCACTGAATGACAAGCAGCAAATGCAAGTTGGGATTTGTTCTTTTCAGCTGGCATTTAAAATGTAACAGAATACAAACTGTATTATGAAGATAACACAGCAGCCCACATCTGATCACAATCACACAAAGCCACTACAAAGTGCAAGTACAAATTGGGATTCAAACAGCAGATATAAAAGGCAAAGTGGCCTGTTCGGAGGCTGCTTGCATTTGAGCATAATCGTATTAATACCATTGAAATTGTGGGAGAGTTCATACTGATTAAGCACTAGTGTCGAGAGAGTAAAAAATAACAATATGAAATTTAAAGAAAATGACCCTGATCTTATTTAAAGGATGTTTAAATACATGCCTAGGTTATATAAAATGAAATTTGGGAATCTGTTTTTTTTTCACAGCAATAAAGAAAAAATACAAATGTTTTTCCAGAAAACTTGTCAGATTGCAATATGCCATTTAGCTGTATAGGTAGCTTGGTCTTGTCTATAATCAAATGAGTGCTGTGGATGTTTCAGAATCCAACATTTCTACAACATTACTGTGTTACAGATACCAAAAACACTAGAAGAAACTAACATGAAACTGTGAGAAATTGTTACTCTTCTAGGTGCCACAGAGGTTAAACAGTTTAGTGATAAACAGCAAATGTCAAGTTAAGTTATGTGGTTTCTGCAGGGGGAGAGTCTTGGAATCAGAAGAAAGAGAAAAAACTAATATTCATATCTCTTACATGAAAACCGATACATTTTGTGACTTTCTCTGCTGTTCTTTTTTATTTCCTTGATGGGTTTTTGCAGTTGTTGCCCAAATCTCTGTAACATCCACACTCCAAGAGGCAGCACCAAGCAGCTTCAGTAATGTATAATGCAAACAATCCTGACCACTTATCTCAACATACTTCTTATTAAGTACGGAGACCTGCTGCTGGAAGCTGGTGTTTCACTCCCGCACAAAGAAAACAGGAGGTAAAAAAAAATTCACTTCAAAGTCAGAAGCATATACTCTCCCTGGACAGATGCACAAACAACAGTAAAACAACTTCCAAACAACAACCCCTTTGATCCCCTTGTGGTCCTGGTTAAGGTAGAAAGCTGAAGGTTATGACAAGTATAGACCACAAGAAATTGCACTTGCACAACTCCAAGGTAAAANACTTCAAAGTCAGAAGCATATACTCTCCCTGGACAGATGCACAAACAACAGTAAAACAACTTCCAAACAACAACCCCTTTGATCCCCTTGTGGTCCTGGTTAAGGTAGAAAGCTGAAGGTTATGACAAGTATAGACCACAAGAAATTGCACTTGCACAACTCCAAGGTAAAAAAGGTTACATAACAGCTTAAAGAAAACACATGAAAACCTCACGATTTTACCCAATATCTCAAGTAACCAAGCAAACCTTTGCATGCCTAAGGGAGTAACGGAAATACATTTTATAGAAAACAATGGGGCAATTCCACCCCCTTCTAAACATCAAAGACTAGGGAGTGATAACCTTGATATCTGATAAATTCCAGTACTGATCAGTCAAAGGAAATGATGACGCTCGCAGACCTTTCCTAATACACACATTTTTACCCTCCTGAACCATACAAAGAAACCTTTTATTCTTTTTTTCTGTCATGTCATTATATGACTGAGTGGGGGGTAGGAAAACATTGCTTCTGTTGTGATTTACATATAAACCAATCTCATCTACCATCAATTAATGTGTGTGTTGTGATAGACCAGCAAATATAATGTTGTTAGTTTGAATAAGGCACATGAGAACAGCATGAAAGCTGCGACTTCAAAAGTTGACACAAATGTTACAAAAGTGTCAATGTCTCACCTGTTATGTTGGCCACAGGTGTCAACTTGCCATCTTTTGTCACAGTAGCCAGACCGTGTTTGGAGAGTTGCATAATGAGGCAGGACACTAGTTCATGTATACCACCACTGTCAATGGGGCAATCTACGAGGTGTGTGTTCTTTCTGCTTCCATAGTGTGCTTTTGCTAGCAATGGCCTGAAAGCACACAAGGATAAAAGTCAAATGTTCTAAGCCTCCAAGTTAACCTTTATTACTGGCCTCTGGCTGTTTATGACCCAATGATATAACAGTATAGCACCAGCATAATTGTATAACTGTTCATAAAGTTATTACTGCAAAAAAAAACATGAAAGAATATTTCATATGTATACGTGCAACAAATAATGGGACATGTACTGATGATGGACTGAAATAGTAACAGTTTCCCTTACTTTACTATACATGTTGAAAATATTTTGTATTTGTGCATGAAACTGTCAAAAATTATAGAAATAATTCTAAAAATAGTCGATAATTCCACCTTGTTGCACACATATTCAACAAGAAATTGAATAATGGGAAAGAGTACATTAGAGAATCTTAAGCAGAATGATATGCTATTCAAATGAACACAAACATACAAAACTAAGTGGACAGCTACAGTGAACCTTGAAATCCTAAATTTGTATTAATACTCTGGTTTCAAAATAAAAACATTCCTGAAGTAACCACTGAAAGCCCAATATATAGTAAGATCAAGTATAATTGAATTGAAGGTGATGGGTTGGAAAATTAAAGGTGGTGAGTTAAAATTTCACTGGACATTTTATTTGTCCATGTTCAAATGAAAATGTTAAAAGTTATCAAACCACTGCTAACTGGGCTTTGTGATTACAATGTCAGTGCAAGCAAGTATGTAAGAAGAAGCATTCCTCTTTTCATCTGCTCTGAATGTTTTGATTGAACTACAGTTGTGTAGTTCACTGAACAACATAAGTTTAGTTGAATTCAGAACTGAACAGCGGAAGTACTTTATTCCCTTTTTCAAACTGAAACCAAATATTTTCGTCATTTGTGCTTGTGAGGGTTTGCCCTACAGATTCAAAGAAACTATTTAAGTAATATATAAAATGTACTCTTTGATATAGTGCACTCAAAGATATCTAAACTTTAACAACCTTTTTCTTTTTTTTTTTTCGGGGGGGGGGGGGGTGTCTATATATTGACTGTAAATGTCAACACTTATAAGAAATGGACAACAATAAAATTCCAAAATGTATTTCAATAACATCCTTTATTACCACTTTAAAATATCGGAAAGCTAAATTTTTTTTAATATAATATGGGTAAATCATTGATTTAAAACAAACAGGCCACTAGCTTAACAGCATCTTCAGATTTTCCAGACATAAATATTATACTGAACCAAATTATCTTAGTAACATCCCTACCTTGCAAACCAACACATGGTTTTCAAAGAAAGTTGTTTGAAATGTTCTCTTTTATCTTCAAACCACTGGAGTTGGCAGCCCTGTGAGGACCACCATACTGTATGTAATTTAAAACAAAGAAAATGATTTGTTTGTTTTTCTAAAAAACTTACACAAACAACCCCGTGGAGAGTGAGGTCTGGACGACATTTTCGACCACCTTCCGGGGGTCAGCTAAGCATCGCAGCGTAATCTTATGCAACTGATAAACAGACATGAGTCAGCGGCCGTGCAGCAAAGGGCACTGACAGATTTCCATGCACTCCAGTTCAAAACAGTAGCGGCAGACATTTGTTCCAGCCAAAGCACCCCCAGCTTGACATGTGGAAAAAGAAAAAAATCATCCAGACTTGAAAGAATTCATGTAATAGCACATACACACACAAAGAAAAAAAGACTTTAGGACAGAGAACGTGAAAATGCTTTTCAAGTATTTGTACAACTGCTTTTGTGTGAATTCGACTATGCTGAACAATTTCTAAGCATAACGAAAGGTTCTGGTAAGACAATACAAAATAATTATACACAACTTGTTAAAGCTTGAAATAAAACTGAAGGCAGGCAGTCCATCTAGGTTTTTAGTTTGATTCTACCTTAAGGCGGAGTGCTTGAGGCTAGACCGCCCTCTAAAAGAAAATCTATTTTCCTAACAAAGAGGTGTGGCATAACAGCAGATCAAGATAGTAAAGTGCTGGTAATCGAAACAATAAGAACCATTTTACACCTATACATATACAGATGTGATCTGCCAAGATTTTCTCACACCTTGGACAACTATCTTATGTCATGTGGCTTATAGTTCACATTGCCGCAGGGGATTCAGGCAAGTAACAATGGATATCTGTGTGGTCTTTGTTAAAGAATGACTTTTTTGGGTTACAAATAGCTAGGATACATGTGTGGCTGATAAAACTACAATTCTGCAGCAATCAGCATGGGATAAGCTAAATCACTCAGGGAACCATAAAATTTTTAATTATAAATGTAAATAAGATGACATACTAAACTGGGAGTGGATTGAAGAAAAGAGACTGTTTGTACAGGCTGTGCATCATTTAGTGATTTCTCATTATGCAACTACATTAACTGACCCGCCCCCCCCTTTTTTTTGAAAAAAAATCACACACTGCATTTGCGTCTCAGGGAGTAAATGAAGCACCGAGGTATAGTACCACAACTTCTTTTCAGTGTGAGCAAGCAGGTTTACCACCTGGTTAAGAAATGAAGCTGCAAAGAATCAACACTGACTTTGTGTGACATGTTCCTTCAACTGACACTTACTACTGCAATGATTCTGAATGAAAGTGTAATCTTGCCTCAAGCACTTGTCAATTATAATACCTTTTAAAGCTTTATACAGAATAAATTTAAAATTCAACACACAGATCAGTAAACATTCCATGGCAGATACAGACATGCCTTTAGGGCATGGTGAAAATATGAAAGTTAAAGATACATAAAATCATGCATGCAGGGTCAACTAATTTGCTATGAATTTTCTGACTTTAAAACAATCAATTAATTAAAAATTAACAGTTTTAAGAAAATAAAAGGTTTTTTTGTTATGATCATTATCTTCTTTCTATATCAATATATTTGTACCCACGGTGCTTCTGTGTCTTGTCTTAGGTGATACAGCATCCATCAAAGCTGTAAGGACAAATCGTAGGAGGGAGATAAGCAGATAATCATCTCTTTGATGGATCATTCTCCTCCCTCTTCCGGAAAAGGGTATCACTTGTTTGCCAAGGTCAATCTTCTGTTGTCTCTGCTTCCATCTTAGGATGTCACCATCACAAGATGTATCTGTAACACACAAAAAGTATTTATAAAGAATGTGTCAATAAAACTGATAAGGCAGACACAAGAAGGAAAAAAAACTGAACAAGAAATACAAGACATCTCAAGAATATAATGCATAGGAACCTTAGCTGATAAATATGGTGGAATTAAAGAAAAGAATTCCTGACAAATATAAGAATAAAAAGCACATGAAATGTATATACCTATTAAATGAATATAAAGCACCTACAAACTGGAGACTCTGCTAGCATGTCTAACTGCAAGACATTATTGTACAAGGGTTCACTGCTCATGAACAGAAATCATGGCACTTAATTTTCAAATGAATAAGACCACTTGTGGTGAAATTACTGTAAATTGGGCAGTGAAATTTGTCAAAAATGAAGAATGATGTGAAAGATCTTGTTCAGCATAACTAAAATACTGCTCACCCATGCACACAGATGTGTATTCAACATTCTGACAGATGTCTGCCTCTCTCTATATCTTTCTCTGAGCAATTGTGCTAAAATTGTGACATTTTGTATTCAAATTTCAAATGCATAGATTAAGGGACATCACCTTGAAAAAATTCTATTGTGTGTAAAAAACTAAAAATTGCAAAAAATTATTTGTTGTCCAACACTATTAACAATCAACCTACCTTTATTTCTAGAGACCTAAGTGACAACAAAATCCAAGTTATTGGAGATCAGACATTTATTGGACTGGATGTCATGAAAAATCTGTAAGTATCTAGGAATAAAAAGGAACAAATATATAAATCATTTTCAAATGCAATTATTTTTCAAATGCAAGAATGTTTTTTTTTTGTATTTTTCAGCCTGTAGTCATACAGTAAACTTAAATACTATACTAGTATATAAATATACAGACAACTACCTGATAAGAATAGATTTATTAATTATTCACTTGATCTCCATGTTTTACATTTTTTCAATGATCCCCATGTTTTACAGCTGAGGCCCATGGAAATCCTGCATTTGTTTCACATATTCCATGTGTATGGCCCCATGCATGTAGGCACCATTGGTCTGTGTAGATAGATCCAACCCTGGAGGGATTCTCACTCAGTGCAATCAACCTACTAGTAACTGAATGACACGCCTCCTCCTGGAGTTGAGTAAAATACAGAAAATCGAGTGCATAAGAAACAAGAGAAGGTGTGTCATTCAGTTAACTTGTTTTCACTCAGTGAATGTCCCCATAAAATTGGATCCATATACGCTGATCAATGGTGTCTATGAGGGTATTCAGAACAAGGTGATCCGCAGACTAACAGATCCACAGATCAAACATGGCAGACCCACTTGAAAGCAAGGCTGCCAATTCCTGTTGTGGTCTACCTGGCTCCACAGGCCCCACACTCCACCACTAAATGGATTAAATCTCAGCCCCCCGGGTTTAATTATGCTAGGTGTTTGTAGGGATGGCGTGTGTGGAGGTAGGGAGAGAGTCAGATCATCTGTTCTAAATGTGCTCTATGGGAATGGAGTCTAAATCTCTGAAATGACTGGACAGACCCACTTGAAAGCAAGGCTGCCAATTCCTGTTGTGGTCTACCTGGCTCCACACTCCACCACTAAATGGATTAAAACTCAGCCCCCCGGGTTTAATTATGCTAGGTGTTTGTAGGGATGGCGTGTGTGGAGGTAGGGAGAGAGTCAGATCATCTGTTCTAAATGTGCTCTATGGGAATGGAGTCTAAATCTCTGAAATGACTGGACGAAAGTTACCTCAATATTAAGCTCTTTGAATATGAAAACATACTTTTTTATTATCATTTTCAGGCAACTTGATAACAACCAAATTACCTGCATTGCTGACAATGCATTCAAGGATATGACGGCTGTCGAGATTTTGTAAGTGTGCCGACATTCAACAATCTCAACAACTTACAAGCTCTCTTTTTTCCTTACCATCTTTACAAAACACAATATATTTTATTCTCCTATTACACACAAAGTTCGTTGAAAGTAACTTCATTAAAAGCCTTTATTCTTCATAATCCAAAAGAAATGCAGGAAATCTAGAACTTACGCTTAACTGCTTCGCGTCACTTCACAATTTCATCAGTCACTGCATGTGTGTACATTTCTTGGGAATCTCCTTTTAATTTGAGGTTTAAATAAGTTGATCTGTTTGTTCATTTGGCTTAAATATATTTAAAGATAGAGGAGCTTTCTAAATAGATATGATAAAGTGACGTAGAGTTAAAAAATTTAATCTCTTCTGTTCCGTTAAGAGTTTACTTATCTACATTTTTTATCCTCAATTTACCTTTTATCTATTACTTGAGACCTGTTATTTGACCTCATTTCATTTTCCTGGGGGGGGGGGCATGAAGTTAGTTAAAGCATTTAGTTAAACAGTGATTTATAAGTGATTTTTGATTTATTTTCAGTACTTTAAATAAGAACAACTTGACGACCCTGCCTAGAGATTTATTCGTGAAAATGAAGAAATTGAGAGTTGGGTAAGGTTAGATCTGCAATAATTCCAGAATTCGACCTCACACGCTAGTTTTATACTCGTAGCGATACGTGTAGGCTGTAATGAGTGAAAATGTCCATCACCAGATTAAAGAGATAAAAAAAATTAACCCAGTTTTAGTGAAACAAACTCCTTACAAAAAATTAAAAAGAAAAAATGATCATTTATTCCTTTTTAGACGACTTGCTGATAATTTCTTGGTATGTGATTGTCACTTGGCATGGTTGGCCAACTGGCTGCGATGGAATCCCAGGCTGGCATTGTTCACAAGGTGTCATTCTCCACAGCACTTGAAGAACAAAGAGATCGATGAACTTCAGGCTTCAGATTTCAAATGCAATGGTAATGATCTGTCGCATGAGCTACTCAATACTTGAAAAACATTTTATTAATCATAAGTTCTTCAAATTTTTTGTTTATTTAAGTCTTTTTATATTGGGGAATTTTGCAAACAGTCACTATGTTCACATATCTGATTTAAATATCTCTCAATCACTTAGAGGGATCTACTAGTACAAGTACATATCATTAACCTGATTGTCAACACATTTCTGTCAGAAGTATAGCTATTCATTAACTGAAACATACTTTTACTCTAAGACAGAAGCAAAAAAAAAAGTATATTCTTTTCTTTATATAAAAATGCAGTTAATACATTCTTTTCAATTAAGACAATAAAAATAATTTTGCAGGGATGGAGATTTCCTTGACCAGAACGTGCCAGCTACCCGAGGACTCTGTGTGCCCAGACCAATGTGTCTGCACAGAAAGTATTGTGGACTGCAGAAATAAAGGGCTGAAGCAGATCCCAAATAATATCCCAGAACATGTCACAGAACTGTAAGTGAAGGATATAAAAGTATTTTTTTATTCAGCCAGTTGTTTTAAAAGTGGAATTGTAATTTAGTTTCATATTGGAGGACACATTTGAAACACAGGTCAAAACTTTTCAGCCATTTCACAAATCAAGGGCTTTTTCTGATGAACATGGTGGCTTCTGTTTCAAACATAAACTCTAACATAAGACTTATGTACAATTCTATCTTTATCTTAGTGTGATTGAAGAAGTAAAAATACTATTGTGTTCTAAGCTTTTAAGCAATTAATGTATAAAAATACTGCATTTCCCTATGCAAAATAAACGGGTGGAGTAAGTTAATATGGGCACATGTATATGGTATATGCATTAATGCAAATGGGTACAGATCTTTTTTCTTTTGATATTGATGTGTTAATGATGGAATTTAATCTCTGATGCATGATTAAATCTCTGACCAGAACAATTTTCATCTATTCAGATTTTGTGCCACATGGTTCATTGACACTTAAGTGCAGTGAGGCATAACTGGTCAGAATCCTGTCACTATTTGTTTTTTCTATACCACCTTTGTTTATTTTTGTTCATTTCAGGCGACTTGAACACAACCACATTACTGGAATTCCATCAAGAGCATTTGTGGATTTTAAGAAGTTGAGAAGGATGTGAGTTTTTCTTTTTAAATGTAATTTTCTCAAATCGAATCTTCTTTTCTTATATCTTCAAGTATTTAAAGTAGTATACTACAATAAAAAAGATTGGTTTTTTGAAAAATGTCAATTAATAGCTAAGAAAAGTTCCATGATTATGTACTGAAGTGATCCAAACATGTAGAATTTAATCAAGAAACTATCCAATCACTTCCACCTGTACCACTCAGTTAAGGCACGTAATGTTTTGATTGGACTTAAGCTCTTTTATGCATGTTGAAAGGGACTGGATTTACCGCCAATTTCTTTTTATGAAAGAAAAGGGATCTATGTAAACACATGCTTGTTGGAGATTAAACATGTGCAAATTAAAGAAGTAGAATTATTTTTTTCATAAGGTCCAAACATGCATTAGATTATTGTCAAAACTAATATGTATGAATAAGAAAAGGAAAATATTTGTCCCACCTTGGCTTGAATTGATCTGTCAGTCCAATGGTCAGAGTGTGAACCTGGGAGGTGAGGATTTGTGGTTGAAATAAAAACTGAGAACAAAAAGAAAGAATTTTTATCAGCCAACAGCCTTTGATGGCACAGCCCCGATGTCGCCAGCCTGCTTTATTGGATTGTTTTCAGAAATTAATAAAAGCATGAAACTGTTTCTGTGTTAGAAAAATATAACATTAGTGAGTAAATGTAAAAATATTTTGATTATGGTTTAGTATAAACTGATTTTACTCGTGGGATATTCAGTTCTAAAAATTATGATGATTAAAGCAATGTCATGTCTTTCATGAGTTTTATTCTTTTTTTATTACAGTGACCTTAGTAATAACCAAATATCTCAATTGGCTGAGGATGCGTTCACTGGGCTTAAGTCACTCAACTCGCTGTAAGTAGTTAAACTCATTATCTTACAAAATGGCATGCAGATTTTTTTATTATTTATATACTGGTAGGTATTTTAAACAATTTATTACCAATTACTTGGATGCAGATAGTATTTTCCTGGTGTATATTATACGATAAAAAGTGAAAAAGGGCCACCCACAATTGTCATAGAGTTAAACTTTTTGTCTCTGTTAATTACTCTAACACTTTATGATTAGCTTTCTCGTGACAGTGAGATTGATCAAATTTCTGATACTTTTTCAGTTGTTTATGTACCTGGTGCCAGTCAAACTATAGAGCAAACTGATAAGAAGCACAAAAAGTTTTGATAAGAAAAATATGGTTGACATTTTTTCTGACAAAAGTTCTATGCTGTGTCAACTTTACACTGGCTCCACGCATATTCATTCATGTGGAAACAGAGATTGGTAACTTAAGATAACAAATTTTTGTAACAAATGGATATTGTAACCAACCCCTTTTCTCTCAAGTTGGTGACAATATGTGCTTCCCTTCTTGATTTGAAGACTCTACTCTCTTTATGCTAAATGGTTTGACATTTATGACATCTGTGTTTTGGTGTGGTATACTGTGAAATGGGGATATGTTACAGTTGATGAGAAATTTGATACTGCATAGACACAATCTAGTAGTTAGATCATTGTGTTTAATGACAGATGCATACTTTTGAAATATACTTTTTGGTATATTTATTGACTCAATTTAATCTTTTTCTTCTGATGTTTGGCAAAAATTATTAGGTTGTTGATATCTGCTACCTAACTTGACCCTTTTTTCAGGGCTACTGCATTTTAACAACTACTTTTAATTATTCAACACCAAACATTTACATTCATTTTCTTCACAGCTACTTTTTTTGCTAAAGTTTATTGATGTGAAAAAAAAACCAAACGTTTTAAGTATGCCGATCAGATGTGGTTAAGCCTGTACATATACTTCTAAAATGAAACAGATATTGCACTACATAACTGAAAATGTCAAATATCTGATTTATTTGAATTAAAATTCCATAATGTCATTAGGCTGTGTATTCAGAATCCGTGACAGTTTAAAAGATCTAGTTTTTGCCTCAGGGTCTTGGTAGATGCTTTGTATCAACATAGGTATCCATTCATCTCTATTATATAAATGTATAATGCCACAAATTCCTGTCAACATTTACAACTCTCTTCTATTCATACCTTTTAAGTAATTTGATACCATTTTATTGAAACTGTAGGTAAAATTAAGTTTTTCACAAACTAACCGTGTATCAATTTGTTTTTTATTTGTTCCAGCTTTTAAAAAAATGTTGACCTACTAGGTATTTATTGGTCAGTTTTTATAATAAAATATCATTTAAGTGGGACATGATACACAGTGATTTTTTTTTCAGTTGATTTTTGTACTTTGCATGTAGCATGTTGGTTATATACATAGCTGGGGAAAAGAGTTGTGGGGTAAAAATTGAGAACAGTCCATATATACTTTAAGTCAGACTTAAGAAAAAAAACTTCTCCTTGCATTAAGTATTTGGTTTAGACTTAATTTTTTTCCAATTTATCTTTTAATTAAACTTGTTGCCAACATTATTTCTTCCTTTCAGCCACAGACTCTTTGGCTGCAGTTTTTACAAAAAGGAGACAAAAGAGCAAAACCCCTACCAAGCTGTTATTTTTGACCATACTTGTATTCATTTTCAAATTGGCATTAATTTATTTGTAGTGGACTATTTTGATAAAGTAGCACCCTCAGTGATCCTGTAGTCAGAGAGTCTATTGAAATAGAAACTTCCTAATTAGAAAATATGAGAATCCAAGGTGGCAACTTGTGATTGTTGTGACCAATGGTAGAAAAACATTTAATGAAAGAGTTGAATTGGTTCACCCCAAAAGTTTGTTTTGATTAAAATGACTCTTACTTTATTGTTGCAATATGTAATTTATATTTCTCCTTCAGGGTTCTGTATGGAAACAAGATAAGTGACCTCCCGCCTGGAGTGTTCAAAGGATTAACATCCCTCCAACTTCTGTGAGTATCTTTATAGCAGTTTATTAATTCTTATGCTTGTTTATTAAATGCAGTTTTGGTTTTTACACCCCACGACTTGTAATTTTCACTGTTACATGTATGCCCATTTGTTCCATGTTTGTTTGTTTGTTTTGTTTTTGAAGTAACTGACATAAGAAGCACAGAGGGTGTGCAAGATTTCATGTTACGGAACAATTGTTGCACGATACAATTGCAAGCTCTAAAAAATCTCTTTGTTAAATAGCTGTGTTGTCAGCCGTATGTATTTTTCAGTCAAGTCATGCTTTTCTGCTTGCCATATAACATTCAGTCTGGATTGCAGACACTTTTGTGTTAGCCAAGATATGTTTTGTCACACCTCAAAGACATATCAAACCATTCTAAAAACTTCATCAGTTTCTGCATACTTCATTTGACACACCTCCTACTGCTATTTCAAACCAAGTAAATAAATAGTTTCTTTATCTGTTTTATACCACTCAAGTCACCTCATTTGTCATTCTACTGGCATAATGCATCATTTGGTTGCATAACGCTCTCTGCAAATACATAACTTTCAGCTTTGGGGCCTCATTTTGACACCTTTTAAAAGTCTCTGGTTTATAAAAGCGCTACAGGTATCAATTGATGATCAAGTGTCAACAGAAAGTGCTTGATATTTGAACTGCAAGAGTAGAAGTTTCAAGGGTTGGTTGCCTGTTCTTTTTTGACTCGGTGACCCGAGTAATAGTAAAAGATGAAGAGAAGCGAGCAAACATACCGATAAGATCAGATCTGGGCAACAGTGTTTGATCAGTATTGACTCTCGCCTAAGGCCATGTCTGGCTTAGCTGCATGGATATCATACAGAAATGGATATGCTTTTGCACACATCTTTAGATTTCAAAAAAATGTCTCTAATCTGAATGTTCGACTACAAATAGTTCGATAAAACCTTATACATCAGGAATGTACATTTGACAAACATATTTACAGTAAATTCATATAAAACTAGCTTTTTTTCAGTAAATCAGATTTAAGGGTATTTCCAAAAGGAAAATCCAAATTTTTTTTTATCTAATTGCAACAGTACAACCTTAGTTTGAAGACATTGGGTAAACTTTTTACTTCACCAGAATGACCAGTAGTTGTGCTATGCATAGCTTTACAACTGACCAAACCGATTTGCTCATCAAGCATTTTCTTTTCAACATTGCTAAACATGTCTAACTACCATACATGAGTCTTTTATATCGAATTCTAATGGATCACTTGTTTGTCTCTCTATGACCAAGCTGGCCAGCAGATATGTCTAATCATAGGGTGCATTTCAGAGTTGAAAATTTTCATTGAAGTTGGCCAAGCTGTGATTTGTAACTAATTTTTCCATTTTTGCAAAATTTGTTTGTTGCACTGGAACATACTGTTTTGAATTAACAGGTTGTTTTATTATCTCTGATTTTCCATTCATGTGGAAACAAGAACTGTCCCTTCAGCTGACCAATGGTGTATGTATGGAAAAAATTGCTTTTGGCAAGCACTGAATTTTTTCTTTAGGATGTTCCCATAAAGGAAGATCAGATGCTAAAAAGTTAATAAACATTTTCAATGGTATTTCCTTTAAGTTGCACTTACAGGGTAGGGAAGTGTTCTACCCTGTATATGCCACTACAGCTAAGAAACCATATAGGCCTGAAATAATTGACTCTTACACTACTAAAGCTTTTGTTGTTTAGAATTATTAACATTTGAGTATTAATTACTGAATTATTGTAATTTTATTCAATGTTTTTTGCTTTTAGTCTATTGAATGCTAACAAGATCTCCTGCGTGAGAGTGGACACATTCAAAGATTTGCATCAGCTGAACTTGTTGTAAGTATTCAAAAATACTGTTTGGACATACTAAAGTGAAAACTGCATTTCAATTTTGAACTAGATGTATATTGAATGAGGTTATTGAGTATGAAATCAGTATTTTTAGAGCAATTACTTGAAAAAGGATCAAACATATTGAAACCATACCAGTGGCTGTTCTTAATTTTTGGTAATAAGTTGGAAAGACAAAATGCATGTCTGTCATTTTTTTCAATTTCAGGTCTCTGTATGATAACAAAATCCAATCTCTGGCCAATGGCACCTTCACCCCACTCACCAACATCCAGACTCTGTAAGTTTTTGTGGTTTCTGTGGTTAAAGATCAATAGAAATGGAATTATAGGTTTAGATGGCACAGTCTGACAAATGAAGTTCATAACCATGAAATTAACTGTAACATTGTTTTGTAGTTTGTGTTATGATTACATTTTGTTGCAGATTTGATTATGTTACCATTTTAACATGAAAAACAACCTTTTTTAAACTGTCATCAATATATGTGTACAAAGTGAACTGTTGAATCAGTGCGTTGTATTGCCCTTCAGCTATATAAGTGTACTTGAAGTCCATTTCAATTTTCAAGTACAAGATGCATCATCTTTTGGACTGGATGAACCTTGCATGATTAAATGTAAAAATAGATTTCTTTACAAACTTAATTATGACCAAGTGCATGAGCATTTGTATTTGTAAAAATTTCATTGATTTGAAAAGGCTTCTTCTGTCTGTACCTATTGCCTTACACTTATGTTAGCAAGTGCAACAGGGTTCAATCCATGATGTTTTAAATTAGAGTTGGCTCCTTGTAAGGAATATTTCCATAGATATAGGATGCTGCACTACACAGTCATGGATAGAGTTTAAAATATTGGGAACCCTTGTGTATTACATTATTAACTGTGTCATATAAAATGTTTGTGGCCTGTTTTGCAGCTCTGTATTACCAAAAAAGGTTTATCAACACATTTTTAAAGTGGATTTTAAGGTGGATTATTAAAAAGATGGATTGAAAATTCTCTAGCAATTTCTAGAAAAATTATATGGACAAATACTGTTTAGGCAAAATCTTATGAACTGAGGCAGCAGTTTTTGTAGCAGAATTATTTACTGTTTATGGAATGGAAGTAATTGAAAAAATGGTGCCCAGTTGTAATCTCTGGTGGAACCTGGTACAATACAATAGATACAAATGGAGAAACTTTGTTTCCTCTGTTTACTTTTTAGTGCCTTTGTTATTTTATCTGCATTCTGGATTAACTCACCCTTTGAATTGACTAAAATATGGAGGTATGAGCAAGAACTTGATCTACTCAGGGTATACATTCCATAGCCCAGTCAGTAAATGTAACTAGACACCAAGTCTGTTTTGCACATTTTATAATTGTATATTTAACATTACAAAGAAATGTTTATTCAAGACCACAAAAGCCGTGAATGATATGGAATAAAAATGTTACAACCAGATGCATGGCCATCTTTAACAGACATTGTATTGTTCTTGGCCGTGAAAAAAAAAAAAAACGGATTTTTGGCCCCTTGATATTGTCTGATGGATCTTTAAAATCAATATTCCCATGTGATCTTCAGGTGTCTCATTTACTGAATTTCATGATATTAATATTATATTGTATTGTTCAGACTACAGTGTAATTGAAATCAATATCATCCTTTTTGTTGATGGTTCCCAGAATTTTCACAATAACTCAGTTTGTGATTTGTTCAAACTTTAGCTGTAAATACAATCTGAAAAAAATTAATATGTTGAGAGTATATATATATATATATATAAGACATGCAAGATTATTATTCACCCAAAACATGTTTATGGTGGAGTTTTAGGAGAATTTACTGCTAGTGCCTTAAGCCTTATGGACTTAATGGAAAGTGGATGGTGCTGACGTATGTTCAAAGGGACAGCATGTAACAACTTATGAATGGGATATCATGCAGGAAATCATGATGCTAGGGTACTCATTTTATACAAACAGCCAGAAGATATTTGCATCTGTTTCGTAATAATTTTGGGCAATTTTCGGTCCTTCCCTTTGAAGATTTTGTACAAAGGTGTGAAATTTACAGGTGTATGAGCCCCTAAAGGCAAATGATCAGGAAAGTGTAAAATTGTACTATAGACCACAGGTCAGTTGTGTTCATTTTGTATGCAACCCTTCTGTTGACTTTGATTATATTTATGATATGCTTGCCAAGCCATGAAGAGCACCCTTACTAGTTTTATGCTGAAACAGGAAATACACATTTTAGTGAAAATATTAACTTAGTTATCTCATAAGAAAAACATTTGCAATAAGACAAACATTTGCAATGTGAACTTTTGATAGTTTTAATTGAATGAAGGTACTAGTTAACTCCCCCTAGTAATCATCTTTACTTGTTGATTTTACATAGGAAAACACACTGATTTCATTAAAGGATCATGCCTGATGGCACATCTTAGCTAAAATTATTTTGAAAGGTTAATAGGTCAAAGTATTGAATTTGTTTCATGCGTAGTTGGCTTTCACCCCAGGGCTGTTTGGAAATTGATCACATACTACACTTGACTTCACAAGATGTTTGAAAATATTGAATTGAACTGAAACATTATAAAATTGAAACAAGCCTGAAGTCAGTCGGTACCACTGGATTCTCTAGCTGTTGTCCTGGCCATGTTTAGTCCCAGTTTTTTTACCTAACAGGAACTTGTTATTTGACTTTTAGATGTTCGGTTTCAGTTAGTGATCAGCTAGGAAAAGCACACCTTCTGTTTTCTTTATTGTTAATGAATGCCTTAGTCCAGTACAGATTGTATTAATTCAGTAAAGAATGTGCAACAAGTGCATACACTGGGAGTATTTCCCAGTGTTTCCTGCCTCATCCTGTACAACAGCTATTTATAAAACCTTTAATTCTAGAGCTGTATTTTTTTCCTAAAGATTGAAGTTGCTTTCATTTTTTAAAAAGAGTGCTTTTTTTTATAAGCAATAAAAAATTATTATTATAAAGTATAAATTTGTTATGAAGTCTAATCACGAAAATACTAGTACGTTGCTTTTTTTATACAGTATTTTTTATGTCAGTAGTTCTTACGCCTACTCTCTATCATGCAAAGGCAAATGAAAAAGGAGTTATCGTGAAAGTTTACTAAAACATCTTTCAGTTATCCTTGCAATTGTCATAAAATTCAAGGGTGCTAGGCCTTTAGCTGTCTTTAATTCTTGCTCGTAAGACTTTTTAAGCTTCGGGTAAGGTTATTTCTGCCTGATTAGATTGGTTTTTAACTTCATTCAATCTAGTTAATCATGTCATCTCAAATTTCGATATTCATGTTTGCCACCTAATTTCTGTATCTTTTTAATGGCAGCATGCTAGGGTATGCCAAGGAATGTTGATGTTACCAAATGAGCGTTAAAATAACTAATGCAAAAAGGTAGCTTTACGAGGTGGGGGAGACATTTGAAAGCATTGAGTAAGAGAAATGTAACTATAGACCATCAATGGATATTTGTACTTTACCTCAGGTACCAGAGAGAAAGAGACGCGATATGAAAATACTATTGTGTAAATATATAGGTACCCTGTACTCATTGTCATATAGTTCCTGTCAGCATATGTTGATAACAAAAATTTATGTCAATCTTGAATGTTTCAGTAAGATTTAGAGAAGAATGCTTTCGATGTGTAAAATGATGAGAAGATCTGAAATACATGTTCTTTATGACAGTTAAAGAAATCGCAATTATACAATATTCTCCCAAATTAAGACATGCTTGATCAAGTTGCCTGCAGTAAAACGATTAAGTACAGGAAGTTAGTTGATCTCTAAAGAACTCACAAATCAGAAGAATTAAACCTGTGACCTGTATAACTAAAGAAATTTTCACATAAAAATTGAAAATGTCACCATTTAGACCCTTTGGAGCTTGTGTCAAAAGTAAATAGTGAAAAAAGAAAAAAAATTGTAGAAGGGTATAAGATCACCTTAGGTTAAGTGTAAGGTTATGACCAAAAATAATTAAAGCAGTGCACTTTGTAGTGATATTATGTAAACTTAATGAATTGTTGAGAAGGGAATGTATCAGACCTCACAGGTGGGTTAACTTTTGTCAGAGGTAGTGCAGGTAGTTTATGGGTTCATTCATTGAATAAGATCAGACGGAATGTGGTTATTTTCATATCTTCTGTGTTTTTGACACCAAATGTTTTTTCATTTAAGGCAAAATGAATAAAAGTTACTTCATAATCCACTGAGGAACTTGTACAATACATTTTTGCTTTGTTCAATAATTGTAAATGTGGCAAGAGGGGGGGGGGGCAGAAATGTCATCAGCATGGTGCCACTTATGTGTGAATTTATAAAAACATCAAAATCCCTGCACTAGTATAGCATCAGGAAAAAAATTAAGGTATAAAAAATGTATGCTTGTATAAAAGATAAATTGCATCAGTTGCATCGTTTGAATAATTTCTTATCGGTAAAATATTATTTCTATTTTCCAGTCATCTGGCTAGGAACCCTTTCATTTGTGACTGCAACCTACGCTGGCTGTCTAGTTATCTCCACACTCACCCCATTGAGACCAGTGGAGCCAGATGCGAGACACCAGAGAGGATGCAGAGGAAGAAGATTGGTTCCATCAGACAGTCAAAGTTTAGGTGCAGAGGTGGGTATATATACTGGGCATATATGTTAAACCCAAAACTTGAACAAGATAACTGTATTGACGTGAGTAGTGAATGGATGAAAATATTAAAATATAAGTAACAGCATTCTTTATCAGACATGCAGTCTGTATCTGAACCTACTTTTAGGTGAATGAATACAAACAGAATGGCCTGCTTTAAAATTGGATGTCTAGGTGCCTGTACATGGCTTATAAGTTGTAAATGATTTGCCATTTTAATGTTTTACAAAAATTGCTACTCTATTTCAGGAGGTGAGGAGTATCGCACCAAGAATGCAGGAACGTGTATGGTAGACAAAGCATGTCCCACAGACTGTGAGTGTGATGGTGCCACTGTAGATTGCTCAGGCAGGATGCTTACTGCAATACCAGAGAACTTGCCCCTCTACACAGTAGAACTGTAAGTCATCAGTGAAAATGATATTGATCTTTACATGAGAAATATGATGTACATTTATGCAAAACTGATAATACTGGTAAGAGATTTTAAATGTTGAAAAAAAAACTATTCCTGATCTAGGCCAGATTTTTATGTTGATTTTCCATTGTTTTTTTTTTCAGGATTCTTAGCAGCAATGATATCACAAGAATCCAAGCAAATGACTGGTTGAAGAATTTGCCAAATTTACAGAAAATGTAAGTTTAAACCTTGTTGTTTGTATTTTTCAAAATTTAAAAACCACTTTCAAAATTAACAGCTTAGAGTGTAAGCTCTTCTACTGTCTTTTAATTGAATTTTCCTTGCCAAATGTAGATTTTATTCTCTTGGTTTTATTGTAGTGATTTGCGAGGTAACAAGATTGACAACATAGAAGATGGTGCATTTGAAGGAGGTGATAGAGTTGAAGAATTGTAAGTTGAATTTTTCCTATAGTGAGGATTAACCTGGTAGCATGCACATCAGTTTTTTATGTATGTTGTTATTTGTATTGAACAGTAATTTATCCTTTGTAAGTTCTTTGAGACAAAGATACAAAAAAGAAGTTGGATGTTTACTCCTTTAATATTTTCTTCAGATTTCAAGAGCTTTGTTGTGTTACATATTTCAAGGGATAAATTTGTAAATTGCAGGCACATGACTGAAAACAGACTGACCCATCTGAATGCAAGAATGTTCTCTGGACTTCCAGCTTTGAAAACCTTGTAAGTTGATTTCAGAGTTGTATTTGTTATTGCAATATCCACCTTTAATTATCTTGTGTAAGTGACAGTGCTTTTGGTAGCAAAAAATTGCACCTTTATAAAGACATGAAAATTATTATTTATCAATTCCTTGTTTATCTCTCACATAGAAATATATATATATATATAATTTTTTCTTTAAAGGATGCTGAGGTCCAACAGAATTACATGTATAAACAATCAGACTTTTGTTAACATGCCAGAATTGCATATGTTGTAAGTATAAGTAGGCATATACAGTAAATATTTTTGTTCAATTTTTTCTATTGAAAAGTGCTACACCTTTAGATTATAATGATGTGTGTATGCATATGCTTGCATATGTGTGTGATATTATCATGATTTGTAAAATTTATTTGTATCAGAACCAAAAAATGCATGTTACTCATTTGGATCAAATCAAAACAAATACCAGTAGATATTCCAAGTACCAACAACCTTTGTTATATTGTGAAACTATAGTTGCAACATGTTTTTAACATTTTTAGGTCATTATATGAAAACCACATCCGATGTATTCAGCCAGGATCCTTTGACAAAATGCCTAATATTCAGACCCTGTAAGTTGCCTTTGGTAATCAGAATATGAATTTTAATTTAAATTTAATCTGTTTGGTTTACATATACATATTCTCCAGCCAAAATAAAATGTAGCTTATGCTCCCTAAGATAAAATGTTTAATTTCCATGTCTGCAAATCTTCCAATTAAGAAAAGTCCATTAATTTTGCCTTTCTGAAGATATCCAACAATAAAGATGGCAATGCATTTCTCTTGATTAGGAATCTTCTTGCCAACCCATTTGTGTGTAATTGTCATCTTGGCTGGTTGTCTAAGTGGTTGAAGGAACACACCCTGGCAACCGGAAACCCAAGGTGTGCCACTCCTCCAGACTTCAAGGACTTCCCCATACAAGCTCTCAGGCCTCAGGATTTCAAGTGTGAAGGTAAATTTACACAATAGCAGCAGTAGAATTATTTTTTCTCTGGTTATCAAATTAACAAAAACAAGCTGTACATTTTATACACTTTTATTGAGCCATATATAATTATGCCATTAACATTTGTATATAAGCTCCCCATGTTCCAATTAAATATACTTTTCTTCAGCATTGATCTCATGACTCTGAATCAAGTACTTGTATTTTCATGTGTAGTTTGTACTTTTAATTTGAAACTAAACATGTATTGCTAGTGCAACAAGACAGGGAGACAAATGAAGTTATTTGCAAGGCCTTCAAGTTAGGAAGCTGTTGTGGAGAAGGTGGCTTACAAGTTGTTCATGAAATTGTTCAGTGTTGTTGTTTGGCCCTTTATCTATGCATCATGTGTAGTTGGTTGTTGGTCATTGTTTTTTATTTTTATTTTGTCTGTCTTCACTGTATGTTGTGTAATTATATGCTTTCCCATTTTTCAGAACATAATGAATATAGTTGTCAACCTGGTCCTTCTGTTTGTTGTCCTACTGGTGCTTTAGAACTGCGTATGTATATTGTCAAGTTCTTTTCAGTTACCTTATTTTTGGCTCTTTATGTATACCTGATATACTTTCAGATAATTATGTTACATAATGTTTTATTTAATGGCACTAAAAAAGTGAATGCATGGATGTTCTGAAATATCCAAAATAACTAACAATATGAAAGTTTTATTTCATTTCATATAAAACTGCTTGAAAGAATCATTTAGCATTTAAGTTTCAAATTTGTTTAATTGTTCAAACTTAGTATTATTTTGAAAATAATTTGCCTTGTAGTTAATTTGTTTTAATGATTTTCCCACTTATGTTTTATGCAGATCCTAGATTTATGCCAGTCAGGTCCCGGTAAGTTCTGAAAAATTCAGTTTTTAAACATTAAAATATTTAACATTCTTTGTGATTTTTAGAAAATGAAGGTAACTGTGACCCGACCTCCCATTGCCCAGCCAAATGCAAATGTCAAGGCACAATTGTAAGATGCAGTAGACAAGGCTTATCTGAGCTTCCTAGAGATATACCACTTGATACTACAGAACTGTAAGTATTATAATAATGTGTTACAGTTTAAAGGCTACAGAACAGCAGCTCAGTTATTTTTCGTGAAATAATTAATGCTTATTAAGTTCTTTTGAAATTTTATTCAGAGTTCATGCTCTCTATGCACCCTAAATATTCCAGTTATCAGCATAGAACTTTGTGAAAAGACAATCCCACTCTTTCATATAGAATGTCTAGCTTATTATATGTATGTAAATGTATTGTTTACTGTCACTACTGTTGAACTTTCTGCTTTTTGTAATGGCATGAACATGGCACTTTCTAAATGGTAATTGGGTTCCCTATATAAAATATACACTATGATAATTAATTTGATGTTGTATCCTTTATCTGTACATAAATTTCAGTTTTCCCTCCATAAAACTAACTGCATGAAAAGTGTGTCATTTTGCTTACACTTCTTTTCAATGTTTTGGCATAATGATTTGGGTCAAACTGTTGAAAAAAAAAATAAATAACAGAAGATCGAGTTTGCTGAGAAAAGAAATACATAGCTGACAATTTTCATATTAAAGACTTATGAAGTAATCTACGAGGGGTTGTTTCATATATCTTTTATTTGAAAATTTTGTTCTTAGCACCTGTAAACTCACAAAAAGAAAGAAAGAAATATTATGGCTGTTTGGAGGGTAGTGATGACATATATGCATTTGCACAACCACATGTTTTTATCCAGGTACCTCGATGATAATAATATCCGGTCTATACCTTATTACATCCGCTCTCTTAAGAGGCTTGTTAGAGTGTAAGTAACCCCTGGCTTGTATTCCCTGCCACAGCTCCCAGCGTCATATATAAGAAGTCACGTAGATCAGATGCAGTGACACCCAATGCACATGCACACTTGCCTATGTTCCCTGCACATTGCACATATTATTTCATTTTCCTTCCAATGTTGCTTTATTCTTTTCCTATGCAATACTTTCCCATTTGTTTTGTTTGCTTTGTTTCCTGATTTGAGCTTAAAAGATTATTCTGATTCTGATTATACAAATCATTTTGATATTTGGATATTTCTTTATTATTTTTTTTTACTGCTTTTACATTGGTTGGTTCTTTGTAGTTAAAATGCAAATTCAGTTTATGCTGTGTTTAGGTTTTTGCTGTGTTTTGTTTTTATGCTTTTTTTGTTTGAGTTTTTGGATCTGGGATTAAGTAATTTTCTGGTGGAAAGAGATCATGCATAAGATTCTAACAAATAAAACACTTAATTAAAGTTAATATCATGAAAATCATTCATCCCACCACAGTGACTATCACACCATGAAGCTGAAAATCTACTGCAGCCTTCAATCATGCACATGTGCAACGATTTAGGTTGTCCTATCAGTAAATTGCTTTCTGTTTTCTTTGAAAAAAAACAACACATAACCTTATGATGACCAACAGGATCAAACATAATTATCTTAATTGCGTGGCCTTTATTTCTTCACCAAAAATATTCAAAAATTGTGTTTATGGTCTTGGAAAAAAAAAACAAAAAAACAAAGCAACAAATAAGTGTGAAAGTTTGCTTGGACAGCATTACTAGTAAGCAGGGATATCACAATTTGCTTTGCTTTTGTCCACAAATGTGACTCTGAACTGTGGCAGTGGATATTTAATTTGCAATAATTTGTTTACATGAATATTATTTCTCTTAAGTTCATATCAATCTAAAAGCATGTATTTGTTTTCACATCACTGTGTTAATTTTCTTTTGTTCATTTATTCTAAATGATTATTTTAATTAAAGCATGCATTTTTGTACTTCAATTTTGTTTTCTTCAGTTACTCTTGTAATTGTTTTTATCGTAATAGCATGCTTTAAATCACCATTCACAAAACATTCCTTATGGTATTAGCATGCAGTTACATGTAGAGTATATACGCCACATTCCTGACAGGATCTTAATTATACAAAATTCTAATTGATATTTCCATATTTTAGTGACCTAAGCTATAATGAATTGCTGACACTCCCAGACACGGCATTTTCAAATTTAACAGAGTTGTCAACACTGTAAGTACCTGATAATGTAGAAAAAGATCTTATTTATGGTTAAGACACAGTGTTTTAGTAGAAGCTTGAATCCAGGGTCCAATGCCAGGTATATGTATCAATCAGATTCTGGAATGTTTAACGACTAACTGAACGTATTAGTCTCACCCTGAAACTTCCACTAGGTAATGACCTGGATGGACTGGTCATCTTATTCAGTGACATGGCTAGGAATAGTCTCCAGTACCAAGGTTTGAAGATATTTTCAAAACATTCTGCAAAAAATGTAAACGAAAAACTTCTGTAAATAAAAAAATAATTTAAAATATTACCAGAAAGTGAACATGTATTTTTTGTAAAAACTGATAACAGTCATGAAAAAATACATATATTTCACTTTTTTAGGATTCTAAGTTACAATAAGTTAAAATGTATCCAAAGCACCAGTTTTGCAGGACTGAAGAAACTGAGGATATTGTAAGTAACAAAATTAAAAATACTAACACATTTTGTGAAAATATGTCTTTGTTTTGATTCCAATTAAAATGTGAAAAGTAACCATATGGTCCTGATTAGTTGTCTTAATTACCATAGTATCACAGTTTTAATCCTTCCTTTGAAAGATTATTTTCCAGTTCATAAGTTTTGCATTACCTGTGTCAACTGTAGATAATTCTTTTTAAAATATTTATTTTTGGCTCATATATCACTTAAATTTTAGGACTCTTCATGGAAATGATTTGTCAACAATTCCCTTTGGATCTTTTGATGATTTGAAAGCTCTGTCCCAAATGTAAGTACTGCTTTATAAAAACATTGCTTAGCTTAACATTGCGTCCACATTTGAGTAGAAAGAAATTGTGCATTTGAAATCTATTTAAAGTCAGACTGTCTTACTCCGTAATGGAATGGTAAATTCCTTCTATACATTTAATAAGGATAATGAATTTTCTTCGGTCTTCTAGTGGATCTTTTTTTCACGTCTTTCTGATGTGTATTTATCCACATGTGTATTTCAGAGCTATTGGTGGCAACCCTCTGTACTGTGACTGTCATCTGAAATGGTTTAGTGACTGGATCAAAAAGGAATACATAGAACCAGGTATTGCTTCCTGTGCTGGTCCTAACAGAATGAAGAACAAACTGGTCTTGACATCTCAGCCAAGAGATTTTGAGTGTTTAGGTGAGTTTTTGCATGAAATGACAAGGCTTTGATAGTTAAAACTTTATAGCAATATTAATGAAAGAAAAGTAAGAATTATTTACCTCATAATGTATATTAGGTAACAGAAATTAGTAGAAGCTTGATCTCTGAATTACTGTTACAAATTCAGATTATTTTCTTATTTTACAATAACAAATGGCTGTCCATTCCTTCAAGAAAATGCTGACTTGAATGCTCTATTTTTTCTTTTGCAGAAAATCCTGACCCCCATGTGCTTTCTAAGTGCAACATTTGTTACACATACCCTTGCAAAAATGGAGCACAGTGTGAGTTAAGAGGATTTAATGACTACAAGTGCACATGTCCTCAAGGTTTCCATGGCAAGAACTGTGAACAGGAGATAGATGCCTGCTTTGGAAATCCGTGTGCCAATGGAGGCAGTTGTAAGGTCTTGGACAAGTATGGCAGGTTTAGGTATGGGCATGTATTACTGAAATGTTGGCCTTAGACATTCAATCCTCTGTTTAAGCAAAAAGAGATCATATTGTTCAACAGTCAAACTGTAATCAACTATCGCAATCAAACATAAACCATAACAAATTATCTTTTTTTGTAATCAAACGGAAAGTGCATTCTTGAATCTATATACAATTTTTATCCTGATTCTATCCATTCTTAGCTGTCAGTGTGCACGTGGATTTGAAGGAGACCGCTGTGAGACTAATATCAACGACTGTGTGGTGAACGACTGTACAAACAACTCAACATGTGTAGATATGGTTGAAGAGTACAAGTGCTTCTGTCCCCTGGGTTATTCCGGTTAGTTTTGCCTTACTAAGTAAATAATGGGAAATCAGACTTTTGCAAACATTTTAAAATAAGTGTTATCATTTGTTTTAAGTATAAATAGTATCTGATATAAACTAATGCAAAAAGGGTCTAGTATGAGTTGGTAAGAAAAGTGGTGTTATAAAATGTGACCAGTGATCTGAAGATAGAGAGTATGTATTTTAAAAATATGGTCCTTGGTGTCGACTGTCTATTTTGCTTTTCAGGTCGTTACTGTGAGAAGAAAATAAATTTTTGTGATGATTACAATCCCTGTCAGAATGGTGCCATGTGTAAAGATCTTGAGGTAGACTACAGGTATGGTTGCATCTACATAGTTTGGAAATACACAATTTGATATTAAATAATTTAATGTCTACAGTTTTTTGGCATGTCACCTTTAAACGCACTTGTAAACAAATGCTAACTAGATTATGAACATGCCATGAATAATAATATGAATATACCACTTGGTATATTAAATTAAATAGGGGCCTACATATATATATATATGAAAACCTCTTTACCTGTATAGTGAATTAAATAAACTGAATTTCAGGTGTATTTGTCCACTGGGTTACTCTGGTAAAAACTGCTCTGAGAACATCAATGACTGTCCTTCCAATATCTGTCAAAATGGTGCCACATGTGTCGATGGCCTGAACAGTTATTCCTGCATGTGTCGCGCTGGGTATACTGGAACATTTTGTGAGCTACCGCCATTAGAACAGAACGTGTATCCACAGAGCAGCGCCTGCCTGAATCATGACTGTAAGAACAATGGCATTTGCTTTCAACCTCCTGGCTCCAAGGAGTACGAGTGCAAGTGTGCTTCAGGTAATTAGATTCAAAATTTAGTGACATTGGGTTTTTGCATTGTCACTTGCGTAAAGATGGTAAAAAGTGAATGATTTCTGGAGACACTTAAAATTAATTTTACCTGTGAGGCATGATGTTTATATTTTGATGTAGGGTAGAAACGTCATGTCTCACAGATATTAACTATTAGTTTCTTAAGAAGCAATTCTTGTTTTTTAACCTATGTAAAAAGTATCCTAATATTGATAAAGGGCAGCAGCTTCCATGAAAATATTTTTTATCCTTTTCCTATATATGTTATTTATGATTTACAATACATTAGCTGTTTTTATATAGTTGAAAAAGGTCAAAATGCAGACTTCATGTTCAGTTTCAACGTGATGCTTTCATCAAAGTTTTTCAAACAAGATTGATGTATTTCTTTTAAGGTTTTGATGGCAAGAAATGTGAAAAGTTAACCAGCATCAGCTTCAAACAGAAGGACTCGTATATCCAATTCCCAGCTCTGGTTACAAAGCCCATGGCAAACATTACAATCGTCTTTGCAACAAGAGGCATGAGCGGCGTTCTACTCTACCACGGGTTAGACCAGCATGTTGCTGTGGAGATCTTCAGGGGTCGTCTGCGAACCAGCTTCGACATAGGCAACTACCCAGTGTCCACAATGTACAGTTATGAGACCATTAATGATGGAGACTTCCACACAGTGGAGATGTTGATCATTAATAAGAACTTCACCATGAGAATTGACCATGGTCAATCCAGGTTTATTTTGAATGATGGGGATAAAAACAAGTTCACATTAGACGAGCCCCTCTATTTGGGAGGGCTGCCACCAGAGGTCAACAGCAGAGCATTCAAGAAATGGCACATCAGGAATGGGTCTAGTTTTGAAGGTACATACAGTGATAGTTATAGTAGAAGTGCACTTGGTGCCAAGATAATGTATAAATGATGCATGCAGTACTTTTTAAGAAGAAGAAATATTCGGATCTCTATATTGTTCTTCTGTTTCACTAGAATTCATGCCTTCAGCATTTTTATCTTAAACATTTAAGCACTTCAAATTTCAGAAGAATTTATTTTTACATGTAGTCAAAACATAACTATCCAATTGTAAATTTCTAGGTTGCTACAGGAAAGTTTACATCAATGGCCGCCTCATCGACTTTGTAACTACCAAAGATTTGGTCCAGAACAAAGTGACCCCAGGGTGCCCGGCACATGACAATCCAGACCCTTGTGTGCCTAACATGTGCAAGCATGGCAAGTGTCAACCCTTGAAGGGGATGAGCTTTAAGTGTAACTGCCATAAAGGATGGTCTGGGACTTTATGTGATGAAGGTGAGTGTGTACTGCGGGACCACTAGGCGGAGTTTCTCTGTATCTTTTTTTAACAGTGTTTCATCTTCAAGCACTTGCATTATTTTTAAGATGCACATCTTTGATTTCAGCTGCCACTGTGTAATTTAGTTTGTAGTTTGATTTAGAGTCACTTTTCTGTTTAACATAGCATGGAGATATTAATTCTGATATTAATTAAGTTTCTGTCTACTGACCATATTGTATCCAAGCACTTCTGTGAAAAAGCATACATTTTCTTGTATCTGGCAAATGTTCTTGAAAGACTTTAATTTGACCAATGTTGTGTATATACACTGCATTGGCTTAACACGTAACATTTCCTTGATTTGCACTAAATTCGAAAACTTGAGCAACACATCTTCTCTTATAATTGCACTTCCTAAAAGGAAATACGCAATTCTAATAATTTCTAACCTCTTTGTAACATCTTTTTACAGTATGTTTCCAACTGATGCATAATTATATTTGTTGGTGAAAGAGATTCTGGTTTATCTTTATCTGTGCTTAGAGTTAGTATATGTGTAATTTGGCAAAAGGTTTCACTGAAGTGCTGGTACTCGACTTTTTATTGTTACTGTTAGTTGTAGCTTGGTGCAAACTTGAGTAATGCTTTTAATATTCTTAGTATATCATAGGTCACTTCTTGGGTTCAAAACTTTTTCACCTTTTATTTATTTGGATAGCTGCTGGTACTTTAGTTATCATTTTAACCCTTTTCCCTCCTTGTTTTTGTCTCGTTCCAGCACCCTCATGTAATGCTGAGGCATTTTATGATCACTACACCGATCCAGAAACAGACTGCAAATCGCGGTCAAAAGTGAAACACAAACGGTGTACTGGAAATTGTGGATCATACTGTTGCCAACCCAGAAAAATTAAGACACGGAAAATACGAGTATTTTGTGCTGATGGTCGCAACTATGTGCGAGACATGCACGTGGTTCGGAAATGTGGCTGTAAACGTTGTTGAGGGGGACTCTTAACATCACAATTCATCATCAGAACTACCACAAAAAGCATAACCAAACAAGGGGAGGTTGCTTCTCTCTACAGCAGCCTTAACACATTGTGTATTTGACCCATGTTCTGATTATTTCAGAAACAAAATGCAAAGCAGTGAAACAGGTCTCCGAGTACACGAATCCAGTCACGGGCTGTAAGTCACGCAAGAAAATCAAGCAAAAGTTTTGCACGGGGGCGTGTGGGAATAGCTGCTGCACTCCAGTCAAAATCAAGAACCGCAAAATCCGTGTGTTCTGTAAAGATGGCAGCTCACACGTTGAGCACATACAGGTGGTAAGGAGGTGTGGATGTAAGACTTGTGCAGAGAGGCCTGCAGTCTGACATTGACTGTAACATGGAATGGCAAGTTCAGTTTTCAGTCTCTGTGGTTTTTTATGTATGTACATATCAAATTGTGTGTGGTGTGTATTAAAGAAGGAAAGAGATGAGTTTCACTGTTCAGTGTAAATAGTACAGCTGGTGGCAACAGTTTGCTACTGCCAGTTTTGTTCAGAAAAGCCTCTTTTTTATTGTGTATATACATATTTAGTGGCTTTTTAATATATGATTTTATAATAGAAAGACAACTGTGTGTGATATAATTATTTATGTGATTTTCTAAAAATCTGGTAGTAAATATGATAGATAAGTGAATTCAATTTTATACGTGTAACAAATGAATGATTTCAACCACCTATACTTTCAAAACATAAAGGCATTTGCTGTTCAATGCAATGTTTGTATTAAAACAGACCAACTCCTGTAAGGACGTGGCTTGACAGCAAGCAACATATAAAGCAATGGACTGTGGTTTGCTGATTTTGACATTTCCCATACAGATGAGGTCACTCACCCTCTCTTTGTCAGCATTATTATAACGATAATAACCTATATGGGCAATATTCTATTTATAACCAAAGTCACAATTTTATAAATACATATCTAAGCATTAGTAACAGGTAGGACACATTAATATCAATCTTTTTTAATGTAAATATGATCTTCCAGTTTGGCCCCGGTCTTAGAGATCCAAACTTGCAAAAATACTCATATCTTATAGTTATGTGCTAGTATATGTTATGTCTTCATTCATTGTCAGCACTACCTCAGACGCCTAAGTTATAATTTGTTTGCATGACTCAGAAAAGAATGACAAAAACACTCCATTTTAGTCAAGCCACAAACTAAGTCTACAAAGAGAAAATTACAATTTTCATGTAACCAACAATCCAACTAGGTTTCAAGTAATTAAAGCACAAAATGGTGGCCCTTGAAATTATTTTAAAGTGTTTGATTTTGCTTTTGGTGGTTACATCTTACTCACTGTTTACTTGCTGTCCTCTTTTCTGGGGGAGATCTGTCAAATTCTTAAGCAGTCCCCAAGCTGCCCATTCTTATTTTTAAAAGATTATCTGAAAAATTCCAAAACTGGACATTAATATGAACTTTTGACTAGAAGTGAAAGGGATGTCATATTAAAACTTATTGCATTGTGTATGCGTAAAACTTTTAATCAGTGGAACAAAAGCACTAATTTTTCTATTTCTTAAGGAGCCATAAACCAATACATTTTAATGACAGTGTAAAACAGTGATATGAAGATCTAGGGCATGTCTTATGTACTAGTGATGTTGTAAAAATGTTTTCCTACATATTTGAAATTATTTTTGTACTGTATGGTCACTGTAAATGTAACATAGATGTATTTATTAGGTAGATAGTGTGTAATACTTATTTACACTTCTTATGAGAATATATAGCACTTGACTGGACAGTATAAGTATGCAGTTTTCTGTGCAATAAATTATTATTATTATTACCATTATTAGATGAAACTGTAGATAAGAGTTTTTTACAATCATGGACTTATTTGCTCTCGTAAGTTAATTCCGTGCACAAATGGCCTAGCACAAAGTTGAAGCACAAATTAAGCCAGAACCTGAGCATATTCCCACTAAGAAAGGAAGCTGTGTTAAGGAGACAAAGATAAGAGCATAAGTATTACTGGGCATTCAAGTACTGTTGCAATCACTTTGAAGTTGGGAATTAATTTTCTGCTTTTTTCATGCATGACGGATTAAGTTTTGTATCAGCCTTTGCTCTTAGCTGTATTGCCAATCATTGCCAATATTTTGTTAAATCTCATGGTTGACGGTGGCTTTTTGTAACAAAGTATGTTTATTATTCCTTACTGTACATATCAGTTTAACTTTTGTTACACTAAAATCGTGTATTGGACATGTGAAAGGTAGCATTGAATGAAAAAATGTTTTCTTACACATTTGTTCTTTTCTTTGTTCAGCATTAATATTTTTCAGTAAAATGAGAAATATTTGTTCACTCTCAAAAACAGATGGACTCCAATTTGTACAATATTAACTTGTGTATTTTGTATATTTAAGTAATAAATTTGAGTTTGCATTGTAAATACGTTTAGTGTTGTTATAAATCATCAAGTGACAATGAATTAAGAACTTTTTTAAAAAATCAGCATTTTAATTTTATTTTTAATTTTATTAAAATAACATTAGCCTACAATTTTACCAGCCCAAGTTCAGAGCACACTAGAAACTCGCCTTTCCCGTACACTACTGGTAGCAAATGTGATGATAACCAACAATTGTTGCTCCTTGGCATGAGACGAATGATAGCACTAGTGAATTGGGTAGGGGGGTGTTTTTCATTAGAAGCTCTTCAGGATTATCATTTTGAGGGTGAAAACACAAAATCAACTTTATAAGCAAAATAAACATTTATTTTAAGGAATGATATTCAAAATGGTCAACACAAAATGTACTAATTTTGCTACTTACATACACTGTTTACTACAAGAAGAGTTGGGCTTTTTTTTTAGCAAAAAAAAAAAAAAAAATGCAGATTTCAACACTTTTCTCTTAATCAACAAGGTTTTCCATATCCAGTGCTGCTGACAATTGAAATTTATAATCTGTAAGCTGTATTTTCAGTTCTCGGTAACTAATGTCTGAGCCACTCGTCAAGCTGATTTTCACTTGTGATAGCAAAAATTAAACATTAAGAGCTTAAAAGCACGTTTATAGATAATTTTCTCAACAGTTATGTATATGGTGTGTGTACTTGGCTATAAGAGAAAAACTGCTTGCATTCCAGGACATTTAACTTTTGCTTTAATATCAAGGTCTAACACATTATATGGTTATAACTACGTATGGCAAATGATCATATGTCCTATAAGATATAACTTTAAAGATGAACCTCTTCAGACAGCTGTTTACTTTAAAACCAGATAGCATGCATATTACAAACTATACTTCTACTAGCTTTACAACACAAAAAGTTTAGTATTTGAACACTTCCAGTCATGCTTTTCCAGATCTGTGGGTCTGAATCAGAAAATGTTCACTTTTCCCTTAATGACTGAAACTATTCAATATTGCATATGCTAGCTTTTACTTATCCAATTGCACCGTTTGTCTTCCTTTTTTTTTTTTTTTTGTAAGTATCATGGAGAGATTTTTGTTCTTTTCCTGCTTGATTCTTCTGCAACTGGAGGCCTTTTCTTTGGCTAGATTGAAATATAACCATGAATATAACCATGAATTCATAAAACATTGAAAGCAAAAGCAAACACATAGTGACATTACAGTGTGGACTAAGGGTCTTCTTTCACACTTTTTAATTAAATTTTAGTTATCCAATTCAATTCATATAAATTTAATATTACCTTTTTATTATAATCAATTCTTTATCATGGTTGTTTTTTAAATGGAAATACATGTCCATTACCAAAACAAGTTTTAGATGAAAACTTAAGACTTGCTTGTTATAGCATCAGAAGTTCCACATACCGTTGCAGGATTCTTGGGAGGCAGCATAACACTGTTACCAGTTGGATACATGATGTCATGCACCTTTTTTAACATTTCATCATCCTGAAATTTAAGAAAATCCATAATTGACTCAGAGATGGTATTCTTTAGATAAAGTTAAGCTAACAAAGCATCTCACATCAATATTTAACAATAAATCTTATTTACTTTGTGTGATACTGACAGCAGAAACAGAGTCTTAGACTTAAATTGATCATTAAATCCTATAAAATGTATCAATAAAAAATCCATATACAATAAAAGTAATGATAGTCAAAAATTGAAAGAGCGTACTGGAAAAAAGAAGCAGATATTACCTGGAACCATGAATGATTTAATGCTTGTTCTACAGTTGCCCTTTTCTCAGGATTCACTGTCAATAGTTGTTTCACCAGATCTTTTGCCTCAGATGACACATCCTTCCAGTAGATAGCAGGAAAGGAGTACATGCCTCGCATGATCTGTTTTGCTAAAGGCACATCCTTGTTCACATCCCCAAAGGGTGGGTAACCAACCAGACTGAAAAGTAACCCAAGATAAATTTTAAACAAGTGTAAGACAATTTGTAAAGAATGTTCAAAGAGAAATTGTGAAGAGGTCAAATTGATATCTGAGAACAGAGGACTTTTATAACTAAGAGAGATTGACCTGTTACTGTTACAGCAAATGGAACAATGAATTATGAAAAGTATGGGAACATTTTTTAACTGAGCTATATTTCAATATTTTAACATCAAATTACATCTGAATTTGAATTTTCATAATTTGTTTTTGTAACAGCAGAAAATGGGTTTCTTAAAACACTATAAATTATGAGATAAAAAGTAAAAAAAAAAATAATAAAAATGGCAGTTTGGAATAACAAATTGTTCTTGGTTTCTGGTTAATCAAAATTTACAAATTAAACAAACTTACCATATAAACAGAATGACCCCTAGACTCCAGCAGTCAATGGCATTTGTATATTTCCCATGCCCCTGAGTCTCAAGAATTTCTGGTGCTAAGTAGTTTGGTGTTCCACAAAAGGTTTTCATCATTGTATTGGCATCGACGAATTTTGACAATCCAAAGTCTGTCACCTAAAATGAACAATATTTAAAATGAGTCAGTACACAAAAGATGTAATATTATCAAAAAAATTTTATATAACTTTCTTCACTCACATATATACTTTCCTGGTGCATTAAGCCTGTGTATTTTCTCTCTCCATTTCTAGGAAAGGCGCTGTTGACTATGATTGGTAGAATGTAAGAGGAAGTGTGCAATCAGGGTCCACTTTACATAACCAAACAATGCCATGTCCATATACTCACCGCTGGCCAAGATGTTTTCATATAACACTATTACATCTGTACTTAAAGTACACATTAAATTTTAGTATACTTTTTGACATTCATATCCAACATTACCTTCACCAAAGTTTCATTTTCATCTGTTGCCAGCAAGATGTTTTCAGGCTGAATTACATAAGTGGAAAAAATATGTAAATGTCACAAAAGAAAATCTTATCTTCAAATTTAGTAGATTTACAAATGCAGCCGCTTTAATCTCTATTCAATCATACCATTATTGTTACTGCAATACTGGATTGTACAAGACAGATGAATAACAACAGTACATAAAATCTGACAAACCTTTAAATCTCTATGTGTTATACCTTGGTCATGGAGATACTGAAATAAATAAAGATTTCCTTCTAATTCTCTACAAGAGACAAGGACAATACCTATGCATTTTTTTCAATATAACATCATCAAATTTGATCATTACTGTAGAAAAATACATTTTGAGATAATTATAGCTTACATTTTAAAACTAGACATTGGAATAAATGTTTGAAAGCGGTTAGAAATTCAAGGATTCTGATTTAATTCTGAAATGCATAATTTAGGTTAATGAAATAGCTGTTACCTTGACTGCTAACAGCATTTGGTGGAAGAGTAATTTTGCAATATTTTCCTCAAAGAAACCTTTGCTGACAACTCTGTCAAAAAGTTCCCCACCTTCAACCCTAAAAAGAAAATATGCAAATGCATTATAATTCTTCATAATTAATAAACAATTCCTTTTTTTACTTAAGTATTATTTTTTAAAGATGTAATTTATATTTAAAATCATCAAGTTATAATGTTCATAATTATAAGCTGCAAAATATAATATTATGCAATACTTACAGCTCTAATACTATGTAAACACACTCAGGTGTATCTATGACATCTTCTATGGATATAATACATGGCTACAAAAATTCAAGCAAAAATTGTGATTAAATTTCAAATTTTTTTCATGTTCACAATACACTTAAACTAGGCAATCTTATTTCACGCAAAAGAAAAAATCAATTAAAATCTTCATACAAAGATAGCAATTTCCTGTAGTGAAATATCATATTTTTGATATCTTGTAACATACATAAAAACACTTCATAAAGTATGTGTATAAAAACAAGAATACTCACATGTTTTAATCCCTTTAAAATATTAACTTCATTGATCACTTGCTTTTCAAGATTCTGCAAAATAAATTAACATCAATGGTTAAAACACCTTACTGTAAAACTAACATCAATGTGATTAGTATTTATTAAAACAATTGTATGTCCTTCTTTGTTAATGTTTATATATATTTTCCTGAGAAAATTTGTGGAAATCTATTACCAACTCATTCTTGCCACCAATGGAAAATCTTCTCTTCTGTATGATTTTGATGGCCCATGTCTTGCATGTGCCTTTTTCAAAGGCAAGCCGCACTTCACCAGCAGCACCCCTGTCATAACAGCAAAATATCATCGTTTTTTTATTTTGAGTTAGAGAACATACACTGTACACTCTACTTTACATGTAGATATAAATGCCATTCAAAACCATGGTAGCAGGCCATGCCAATCTTTCACCTAGCTACAGAAAAGAACTAATCTTCACAAGTGGTCTTAAACTGTTTTATGTATCTCCCATCAGAACAGGAACTTTCTTCCTTACCTGCCTAATACTTTGGTAATAGTATACTTCTCTCTAAGGGACTCAGGGAAATTGTTATCATCATTGTTGTTTGCATCCATATATATGTAAGCTGTAAAAACATAACTAAAATTTCATCGCAATGATATTTTGAAAAGATTACCAATCAGACATTTTAATAGACAGCAATAGCAGAATTGCCAATATAAAAAATTGGCAATGGCAGCAGTATTTGCTTTAAAGCAGAATTTGATTTTTATCGTGATTAGAAGCACCATAAAGCTTAAGGCAAGAGGAAAAAAAATGTTACCATCACTTTGCTCACCTTTGTTCCTGGCCACAGATAATGCAATTTCATCATTATTACTAAGCACCTGTTTGTTTCCTTTTCCTGAAGAGACAAATATTTATAGATATACAAAGGTGTGTAGCACGTTTTGAAAGATCTTTCTATTTTCTTTCCAGTTAATAAAAAAAGGTTTAAATTACTTATCATAATGCTCAACAAACAATCAAAGCTGGAACATTTCTGCTTTGATGGATGCATTGATAGAGACTTGCCAAAAATGTCCAATTCTTGGGCAATCTATTAATTATCCACTTAACATTGAAAAATTAATAGAGTGACATAAAAAAGTAACTAAAAAATTGGTTTATGGATATTAATTCTGTGGTTTTGGATACCATTTATGGTAAACTTCCAATTAAGAGATTAAGGATAAAATGATGTAGCAATTTTTAGGAAAATTAAATTTTCAAAAGAGAAAGGTCCAATGTTTATTGTGTACTGTAGCTTAAAAACTACCTTGCCCTGCCAAAATTGGTAAGTAATGAATAAAACATCTGTAGGTGCTGCATCCTTATATCCTGACAGAAATGAAAAATTAACACCCAACTATAAACATAGCCTACCAACTTTACTTCCATTGACAAAAGTTCCATTGCTGCTTGTGTCTTCTAGGAATATAAAAACCCCTGTACTGGTTTGTTGCTGAAAATAAAACATTATTACTGTAAAATTCTACTGTACAATTCAGATTAAAATATATTTTCTTAATACTAAATCATAATCTTGTTATCATTAATCTTTAAAATGCTGATATGCTGTAGAATTAAGTTGTAGGCAACTACATAAACTAGTACTGTACATCCAATTATTTAAATTGTACTACTGTACATGTTCTAAGTGTAATTTCTTGCAAATAAATGCTGCAGAAATAAATGTGTATCAGTAAGCTTTTGGTATTTACTACATATCCAGCACATGTTGTTTAATTACAATTGGTTTTCTTATATACAATTACTAGGTTAAGAATATATAAAGTACCGTTAGTAGTTCCTGTAACAAAATTTAATAATTTCTGGCATACATGAACTAAACTGGATTGAAGCAGATTTACAGTGTGACAGCTTCTACCTACCCTAAATATCTTGAAGTGGATCGAGCTGTATGTTCTGTATGACTGACATTTCCCTTTGACATTTGGGAAGATGAAATCACAGGAGTCTGCCCTGCCAAATGTGTACTCTTCTTTGGTAAGATCTGAATAGAAAGGTCACAGTTACTACATGTAAGTCAAGTGTCGCTTTGCAACATATATACTTGTACATTGTACATACATTTGTCAGTATGAAGTTAAATTAAAGAGTAAGTTATAATGGGCAATGAGGTGCGACCTGCATTATAAACCTACTTTAAAATGACGAGGGGGAAAGAGTAGCTTATACGAGTACGCCACTTAATTTTCACTGAATGAATCATCTGAATGCACTACTGTGTGGTCCGATTCCTTTCTCTGAACTCATTAATGTACGTACGTGTTAGCTGTAATTAATGCACAGTTTACCCAGTTACAGTTTCCCATATTAAATGACTTGCTTTAATGGCTACCAAACGTTTTAACTGACACTGACAAGCTCTTTTTAAGCACGTGGATCACTTCTCACCATGTGCAACAAAACTAGATCCGAGCGGGAAAAGACGACCCCACACGGGGATGTCTTCATCTCCATCGCTAAACGTCCCAAAACAGCCATCTACTTCCTGTGTTGGCACTGTCTCCATTGAGCTCAAAGTACCAGTTGTCGCACTACTGGATGTTTGATATGAAGATCGATCTTGGCTCATGTTGACTTATTGTAGTAATTGAGTGTTTACTGCCATTCTGCGCATGGCGACTGACCTACATAGGTTTCCGTTTTTAGTTAACCTATTTTTCTGAACTATCACGCAAACACGTGTGCGCGGCTTAATGATTTTGAATGGGCCATAATTGTATTGTTTACAACAATATTTTCACATCAATGGTCAATAAAGCATACTGATATACTAAGGTCACTTAAACATGCATCTTTTATGAGTTTATTTAGTAACTGTAAGTAACTTAGGCCCCATTCCCGTAGACAACATCGGTCTACTTAGATCGACCCAACTCTGCCGGGGCTCTCGCTGACTGCAATCAGGTTAACACAATAACACGTCTCCTCCAGGCATTTATAAGACACTTTTGGGTTGTTTTTGGTAAGTGACCAAGTTAATTTTCTGGCAAGTGTAACATATACTGTCAGGCTTATATTCAATGCGGATTTACTTGGAAAATGAATTGCAAAATGTACATGTAGATTTAGATCCAATGTTTCAGAAATTGAATGGTAGGTGTTTTTCAGCCTTTCTCACACATTCTTAATAAGGCATTTATGTATTGATTCTTCCACAGGAGTATCACGTTTGCCATTTTAATTTGCAAACAGATCCCTTTTTTATAGTAGAATATGTTGATAATATCGAATTATATATAGTAGAAAGTTTTTGAAAAAGGATATCTGTACTAAAAAATAATTTATGCCAATGGTTTTGCGTTTCATGTTCATCAGCATGAAATTTCAATTTTTCCCTCAAGGCCTGACCAAGACTTGAAATTTTGCCATACTCTTCCACTTTGACATTGCAATTTAAGTTTAATATTATGCAGCAAAGGCGAGGATAAAGTGTAAAACTTAAATAAACAAGGCAG